ATCGTTTTGGTTTGTACAACACTCTATGTGAATAAAACAAAGATGTTGTGACGAATTATGACGGAATAGATAGTCGGCTTTATTACCGTCTCGTTTTTTAAGTTTGCTTCATCGTTATATATAGATAAACGCGTAAAAGGTTTCAATATCTTAACTAATATAAGGTTGATCTAGCCAAATAATATCAGATTCGAATTTGACCCATCCTTGAAATTCTAATTCTGGTGAGGCTCAAGCCTATCAAGCCTATACCTTCCGCCGCCTATGATCACAACATATAAATAAATATATTAGAAGTTCGTATATTCGGACTGAAATAATATTCATTTGATAAGTCTAAACCATCGTGCAAAAAAATGTCGTATTCATAATTTGGGTAAGGCTGAGCCTCCAGACACCAAATTCTGGTGAGGCTCATGCCTCACCCAGCCTCCAGCTTCCGCCGCCTATGACTTCAGTAGCAGATACAAAGAGACGTATAGAGTAATAGCAGATCCAGATGATGAGTTTCGTTCAACAATTTTTTTTCGATCGAAGTCTTTGAAAAGTAAATTTTTCGTCGCCTCTACCCTTAGTTTGATTTTGCGTTCTGTAGCATGCCGTCTTTTTGGAATATAATCGTAATCTTTATTGAACTCTATCAACAAAGTCAAGATTTCATTTGAAAATGTGCAAACGTTCAGAAGTTATAACGTTTCGAGTTATTGCTACTTTGACCAAAACTTCAGAACATTGCAACTCTTCAGTGAATGTATATTTTTAGACGAAATTTAAAATCTGACGATAAAACTTGATGTAGATTACAATTATATTCTAAAATATTAATATGCTACTGAAGGCTAAATATGGAGGATGAGACAACAACAAAAAATTTCTTTCTGCAAACTCTAATCGAAAAGTTTATGACTACATCTCATTATTTGGGTCCAATATCACACTCTATAAGTTTCATATGAGCCACATGCTCTGAACTTGAGTACAACTCAAAAATTCTAGATCTACCACTATTTGACTAGTTATGACATTTCTAAGCTTAATTGAATTTAATCAATTGAAAACAGATTAATCTATATCTTTAAATAATATAAATTAATCTGCTACTCGCACCTTTTGCTTTTCAGCAATCGATTATTTAGTAGAAATAAAATTTTAAAATTGTTTTGGTAATGTGCTTGAATTAAATTTAATAAGAAATAATGCAGATTTTATTTAACGACGACGCGTTTCGTGTTACATTTTATTTTAAAAAAATTGAAACACTCTTCAGGGCACTGCATTATAATATAAAGGGATATACAATAAAATAAAATATAATAAAAAGAGGGAAAATAGTTATTTGAAAAATTACAGAAAAGAATATATAATGAAAAGTTACATAATGAAATGAAAAAGATTAAAATGTATTGGAAAAATCATTTTTTAAATAAAATAATATAATCGAACGGGGAACATAGTCATTTGAGTAAATGGTAAGAAAATAGGAAAATAATATTTTAGAGGTACTCTATAACTTTGATAGTTTCGATTGTGAATTTTCATAGAATAAATATGTTGGGTGTGGGTGTGGAATGTGGATGTGGGTGTGGGTGTGGGGTGTGGGGTGTGGCTGTGGCTGTGAGTGTGGCTGTGGCTGTAGGTGGGTTTGGCTTAACCCTTTCAGGCCCACCATGCCAAATACGGTACGGTTTTTTCAAGTTTTGTAATTTTTAAATAAC